TGAAAATGATAAAACTCAAAACTTTGAAATTTATAAAAACGATTACCCTAAATTAGACTTCTAAGCCTAATTCGGGTGCCTGAACAATGTGAAGTTGTTTACACCAGGTGCAGTTCCACTGAAGACCGTGAGACCATGTTTGGTGTCAAATATTACTGAGGTAGAAGAAAAGGTTTAGTATTTAGCCCTGAATTACCTGAGTTTGGAATTTCAGAGTATGTCTTGGCATCCTCTGACACCGATGAAAGTTCTCAGCTTCTTTGAAATATAGGTCACCTACTTACAGCTGAGATCCACAACTGATTTATGGCAGCTTAACAAGTTACCATCTATCAGTTGAACTGCTATAATTGTCCGTGAAATTCTTTTATTGAGGTTTTTAACAAGTCACATTCCCTCACAGCTGGGGAGGCTGAGGAGCTCATGAACAGTTATTGGCAGCGACTACAGCTCTGTTGACAGGTGTGACTTGCTGAACCACTGTGTCCCTCACTCCTAGTCAGACACCTAAGTAATGGTGGAAGAACTAAAATTTGGCACTGTGTAAAAGCACACTGCTCTTTATCTTAGATATGAAAGGAACAGTGCAGCATGGTTTGGTTGGATTCCCATCAGAGATTTGACAGATAAGTTTTCCTTTTGGGGTGGTACATCATTCATGGAATCAGAACTGTAAGTAGGGAAAATATGTTGCACCAAGTGTTCTTTGTGTGGAGTTTTACACCTTAGCACAGAACTAAAACTGTATTGCACCCATGCAGACATATTTGGGCACATAAGTTTAGATTGTGAAATGCACTGTCTTGAAATGCGTTTAGCACTTGCGGAATAGGATATGAACAGAGGCAGAAATGATTACAGCTAACTGTGTTCTGTCCACAGCTGTCCCTTTCTCAAATATAAAAGCAATCAAAGAAATAACAGTTTCAGTTCAGACTCAACTGTGATCTTGCAAACTCTGGAAAGTTGACTGAGATTTCTCTACTATTGAAATGTTGTCCAGCAAGTGGCCTTATTACCAGATTGTGATGTGTCTCTGTTGTGAGGCATGAACCTCAACACTTTTGCATGGTGGGTGAGAGGTGCTTAGAGGGGAGCTGTGCTATCTCCTTGGCTCAGTCCTGCAGCACATGGGCACACAGTCAGGCTCAGAAGATGGAGCCTGCCAGCCACACCAGTTAGGAGCTGACTGACAGTGTTCTCAGAACTGAGAAGAGCTGCCTGAATGGGTCACTAAAACTCTCTTCTGGGTTTTGGGAGTCTGTTCCTGCAGACCAACACTTCAGAAAATATGTTCATACTTAAAGAAAAAAAAAGAAAAAAAAACATTATTTATTCCCTATGTGCCACACTGTCTACAAAAGACCTTCCCAGACTATCTCAGACACCTCATGGCATTGAGCAGTGCAGCTTTCCTGAGCCTTGATCATGGAGATACCTTATAAACCGAACCAGGGTACTAAAATACTGGGTGGAGGGAAAGGGAATAGCGATAGGAATTCTTTAGACCAATATTACTTGACAGACACTATGTCCATAAACATTTGTTTGGTGTGCAGTGACAGCCATGGAGACCACTGGCTAATGGAAGGGTTTGAAATCACCATCTACATGTATACACCACAAGGATAGGCTTTCAAAAACCATCCCAAGCTGAGAATTTGCCCTGAACCATAACCCTCATGTATATAAAAGTCTCACAAATCACAGGGTTTTTTTTTACATTTCCTTGGAAAGTTGAAATTGGGTTTGGGTGGAGGAAACACACAAAGTCCATTTCTTCAGCCAAGGAATATTCCTGTCCATTGGAAAGCCCATGTTCTGGTATCTCTCAAACATTTGTCCTGATCAAGTATATCACCGAGCTAGAGAGCATTAATTTGGTGTAGACATACTACAACAGCAAGAAGGGCACACTTATAAGAATAAGGGCAGACGAATAAGGGAAGAAGGGCAGAATAAGGGAAAAGGAAACAAGTCCATAAGAGGGTGAAAATAGTAATTATGATATTATAACCTTTCTGCTTGATCCTTATTGAAAACATTTGCAGTCAGTTTACATATACTTGCACTGAAATAGAGCTGGCTACCTCTTACACGCTGACCGCTCATGCAAATATTTCATGTGTGAGACTGAATCTGCACAAACTCATTCTGAATTTATCTGTCTAGAAGCTACTGTGAAATGGCAAATACCAAACTCAAACAAACACGGCTTTGTAATCAGATCAGTGCTTCCAGTGCAGAGTAAAGTGGTTTGTTTTTACAGAGCATGATAGACTTCTTCAGAGGTGATGACTTTTCCTGAAATGTCCTAGGAGTATTTCATGACCAGGTTACTGTACTTTTTTTTTTTTTTTTTTTTTACTGCAACATGTGCAATTCACTTTATGTTCTTGTGCACTTTTTTGATATTTTATTTTATTTTGTATGAAAGCCTTTTCATTCACCTCTCCCTTCCCATTATTTATAAAAGCTATTGTGGTGTTAACAGTTTAAATTTGCATTGTTGTAGTGAATAGCAGCTCTGAATGATATATTTTGATCTTTCGAAGTATGAATAAACAAGTAAATTCTGAAGGACTAGCAGCTGTCCTGAATACCACACTGCGTGACTTAGTACAAAATATCAAAGAAAAGTGTGAATCAGCTCAAACTTGGACTAATAATAATTAGGTAGGTAAACGCAGGGGTGAAAGAACAGCAAGCATTGTAAGCAAGGAGACAGTTTTGCAACTATTCCAGTTTTGATTGAATCCATACTCTGGTGTAATATGCAGCATTTCAAAGTTTCTCTCCTGCACTCAACCAAGTGCACTTGGCCACAGCGATCACTCTAATACCTGTGGATTTTTCCATGACCACCTCTGCTCACCCCACTGGAAATCTAGAATAATGCCAAGGATGCTACTGTGCGGTGGCAGCACTGGGACAGAGTTCAGCATCTGTATTACAGTGGCAACACAAGACTAAGTATGTGAGAAAATGTAGCTCTTTACATGTGAAGACATCCCTCAGCTATAGTTCTGCAGATTCAGAGCCATAGTTCTCCCACTGAATTATAAAGGAGTGATACCCTTGATTTCTGGCAGAGTAATGGAGGGACAGAGTGTCCTCATTTTCCCCCACTCCACCCCAAAATACAAAATTCTTAGCTGCACCTCTGGGCTGAGTATTGACTGGGCACCTTTAGCACTTAGACTCGCTCTTTACCACCCTGCACATTGCATGTAGTTGCAGGTATGTGCTACCAATGCCACTCCCGCCTGTGTCTCTTCTGTCTCACCTCCTATAAATGTGGTCTACACAGGTTTGATACACATAGTAAGTGCTGGTACCAGAGGGAAATCAGTGAAGACCATTTCTGTTGTTACTTTTGATCTACCAGACTAATGCATTACAGCTCTTGCTTTCATATAGGTAAACATGAGTGTGATTCAGTGAGAGATTTAGGAAAAGAATAACCTACTTTCGGCCAGAGGTTAGTGCATATCCAAACTAAAGTTACAACCTGATTATATGATGCCAAACACCACCAGAAGACCCAAAGTTACACTTTAGAAGGCTTAAAATGTTCATTTTCTTATGATTGCATCATCCTCAAAAGCAGCTGAGCCAGTTTTCCCCCTCAATGAGATACTGAGCCTGAGTCCTAGGGAGCTATGCCAGCTGGGGAATGTGTAGGTCAAGGTTGCCTTCTGCTGAGTCCTGGAAGAAGTTCCCATTAACTCCAGTGGGAGTTGGTTCAGGCCCTGGATGATCAGAGTCCATTCCTTGCATTCCTACTTTCCGCCTCAGTGAATCACCATTTACTACATAAATGAATGGATATATAAACCTGCAATATGAAAGCTTTCAGATCTCATGTTCTGTGACTTAGCACTTCATTATCCATAGGCTTTAGAGATGTTTAAGAATACCCCCTGTTAACTTTTATAAAGTAACTTTAATGAAGCAATTATTAAAGTAATAGAGTTCATAAACACTTTTGTAGTCAGATCTTATAATAGCATCTTTAAATCACACAAAATGAAAGATCATCTTTGATAGGAGATGGCAGATGTCAAGACATGTAATGCTGTGCACTTTTCTGTCATATTTTGTATTTTTATATTCAGCAAATAACATGATTTGTCATTTGTGCTGCTGACACTCAGAAATTAATTCTGCTTTTGTTTGCTTTCAATGAACACTAGCTAATTTCCCAGCCTCACAAGAGTTGCTGTTGATCTATATCACTCGAATGGGCAGGGATCTCAGGCCTCACGTCTCACCACCACTTACAGATAAAATTTGCCTCTACTCAGTGGGGCAAGAATAAACCAACTCCATTTGCAGAATGACCAAGATAAAACTACCTCCTTTCTTCCTTTATTTTTTTTTAATTTTCTCAATATTTACATATAAGAAGAGCTTAAACCAATTTACAAACATAGTGTTTACATTAAATACTGTCCACTCCAGTCTCTTGTATGCCAAAGGAAGTGACCCAAGTGTTTTGACTTCTCTGGAATTACTTTAAAGCACAAAAACTGTTTGAATGACTTTAATTCATCTCATTTCACTGCCGTGGCTGCAAGGCAACCCCAGAAAGATGTTCCCACATGGAGGAGGTCTCCTAGGTTTTGCAAGAGCAGATTATGGATGGATCTTAGCCCAACCTGCCATGGCTCAGACAATGCACTCCAAAGAAATAGGCCTGATTTGCCTTGCACTTCATGCCACCGGCTCCGTAAGGCTTATTCCTGATTTACACCCGCATAGTGAGAGGAGAACCAAGCCCTCATAGATTCACTGACGTTGTTTATTTGCCCCAGCCTCTTCAAGGGAGCCCCATGCAGTCGCTGTCTGTCCCTAGACCGAAACCACCCTCCTTGCACATGTGCCGCTCTGCACCACTATCCGCTCCCGACCAGCGCCTGAAGTTACATTTCAATACGTGTTAAGGCGTTATTGTATTCAAAGTCACAACCCCCCGGCGCTTACCCCCTTTCACCCCGCTAAATATAGCCAAAAACATTGAAAATCGGAGGGGGCACAGACGGCTTGGTGGGAATGGGTTTCACGACCACGGGCCTGTAGAGTTTCTGCCCCGTGCTGTCCGCCTCCTTGCAGAAGTGCTGGACCTCCCCCGGCAGCGCTGCGCTTTTCCGCCACAGCACCAGGCCCGGGAAGGGCGATGGCGGCAGCGCCCCAGGGGTTTGGTACAAAGGCTGCCCGGGGCACTGGAAGGGGCAGCAAGTCCAGGCAGCCACACGTCCAGCCGTGGGTGGCCCCGGGGCCTTGGCAGATTCTTTCTTGCCACCATGCAGCATGGGCTCATGGGGACTCTCGGGGCCTGCAGCCTCCGGGCTCCGTCTGCTTTTCTTCTCCTCGTAAGGAAGAGGCTCTCCGGAGTTTGGGAGCCCGCCCAGGCCATCGGGAAAGCTCCTGGCCAGAAGGCTCTGTGCCGGCCGGGGCTCTTCCCAGAAGGAGGCAGGCAATTGTCTCTTCCTCATGGGCACCTGATCCGGCTTCGCGGGCTCAGGATTTTGCGCCTGCAAAAGCTGCTCCCCAGGAAAGGTCTCCTCCGCCTCGGCAGCCCTCAGCGCCTTCTCAGCTCTGCAGTGGTGGCTGGGGTGGGGCGCCCCCGGCCGCGCGACCCCTCTCCTCAGCACCCCTCTTCACACTGCACTCCGCTGGTTTGCTGGGGTGGCACCGTGGGATCCTGGAGTATTTCTGGGAGAACCTTTTGAGCTGTTTCTGCAAGTATTTTCTGTGATCGACTGAGCGGCGGCAAGGAGCGGATTTATCCAGAGCCGCTTTGATGTCACTCGAGGCCAGATTGACAAAATTCAGGAGGGTTTTTACCTCGCTGTCTGATGCCATTTCACAGAGTGCAGCTTGCGGAGATTTCCATTAAAAGTTTATAATCCTTCTCTTCCAACTCTGGCAAATCTGTGAGACACGATGGGCAGATTTAAAGCGCGAAGCATCAAAAAGCATCAAGCAAAGTGGGGCAGGATGGGAGGGAAGGAGGGAAGAAACACGTCAAACTTCTCAGCTAAGCAAGCCAGTTGCCAGCTCTCTCCCGTGCAGGCAAGCGATGCCCCGTGCTCGTGGCCCGGCATCCCCGGCATCGCCGCCCGGGTGCTCACAGCCGCATGGCTTGGCTCGCTCGTGCCGGGGAGCCCGACAGTTAATCTTGTTAGGTAACGTCCAGCTCGGAGGCGATTCCCGCGTCCCCGCAGCTGAGCACACACACTCACCCGGGCGCGCAGGAGGTTGTGGCACCCGCGCCGGCTGCTACTGTAGCACCGCTGGGACGAGCCCCCTTCCCCGGCTAATCTTGTTACGCAGGTTATACACTACCAACCTTTACAGAGGCAGCTGGAGCCCGCGAGTGTTTAGAAGCAGTTTAGCAAGCACTTGAGTAAGCTGAATGAATATCGACTCCTTCTAGTTCGGGGGCTCTCCCAGGCCAATCAGAAGCCACTTTGCCAAATACAAAGCATCCCAATCAGGCATTAGCCTCCCCGTTCTCACATTCTTTGCCATCACAAATTGTTGCCATGGGGACAGTCACAGAAAGACAGCTAATAAATACAATCATTTCCCTGAGATTTCTACCATTCTCCCCTACTCTCTTTGCCCTTATTAAGGCCTCTTTTTTTAAGAAAAAAAAAAGGCACAATCCAAAGAGAAAATGTTGATGATGAGCTAAGAAAGTTTAGACGCCCTATTCTCTGCGCTCCCCGAAAGCTGTCTGGGGGCTGATACGAACCATGCTTCATTGGCATAGGACAATGTAATACGGGGGACCAGGCTAGCCTACTTTTAACCATTCCCCATCGGAGCTTTTTCTTTTTTTTTTTTTTTTTTTTTTTTTTCAAAGGGGAGGATGATGTCAGAAAAAGGTAGGAAAGGAACAAATCTCTAAAGAGATGTGCAGATATCCATGGAAAGGGAGCTTGAGCGCTCAAGAATCTTGTCTTTATGTTTGCCCCCTCAATTGAGTTACACAAAAGCTGAATTACCCATTCAAACTACCCGGACAAAAGGATGGAGTTGGATAGTACTCTTGCATCTGTAGTCAAACAGTTAGAGACTTAAATCGAGTCGTCATGATGGAGAAAGAGTTAGACAAAGCCCATAGAATTGCCATCAGCAAACATTTTCCTGTGTCATATTAGTGGGTCTCCATGACTCCCCCTGGCCTGGGGACAATAGCACAAGTTTGCACACTCGACTACTGTCACCCTGCCAACGCTGGCAAGGAGCAGAAACAGGACAATCCTTTAAGGGGAAAGCATGCCCGCTGCAGGGAAGGTAAGAAGAGAGGGAAGAAAAGGCGTGTGAAATGCTAATTGAGCTGCTTCCTTTACTGAACCAGAGTTATGCGAGTCCTCCGCCTTCTTGCAGGGTTGTCCTAAAGGGTGGCAATAACTTAATAGCACAGGAAAACCAGGAGTCCCACCATGCATACCCTCTCATCCAGGAAAAGAAGAGAGCAGGGATGCCTGTCCTAGGCACACATAGGGCATGCCAGCGATGCAGAGCTCGTGCCGGCCTGCATGCCGGCTCCGAGCCCCACTGCCTCACTGCGGGCCAGGGCACGTGAGGGCTCCACGACCAGTCTTGCTTTCCAGCCTCCAGCATCCTGCAGTGCCTCGGAGATGTCCCAAGTCTTGTGCATTTTCAGAGAGACACATGAGGTCAAAGACATACATCTATCATTGTGGGGAAAGCAGCATCAGGAACCCAATCTACCTCCATGCTGCAAGTAATCACTGATGTGTGGCCTCAAAAGCCTGACTGCAAAAGCCTACCAAAAATCACTTTTTTACGCCTCATTTACTGTATCTCTCTTACTTTCGCTTTTCTCAGAGCAGGACAGTGATCCAGATTGGCCACCATGTGAGGTATGATGCTCACCAGGCTGTGCAAAGGCCTTAGGAAGGACTCATCAGTGGTCCACACTGGTGGGGTCAGTGTAGCTGTCCCTATACCTATTGTTTTTCTCAGTCTCGTCTGAGCCACATGTGATGACTCCAGCTCTCAGGGTGTTTTCAGTCTACTGGGGAGAAACCAGTGAAGTTGCCAGGACGCCATGTAACAGGAGATGTTGCAAAGCCATTGACATTGCTGCGCACTGCAATAATGCTGCTGATTAGCTCCACCAGGTCTGCCTCTCTCGTCTTGATGTGCAAGCACTGAGATTAGTTTTGCAACCTTCTTGTTCACTCCAAAGGGAGAGCAGAAAATCCTGAGGCTGTGTTGTTCCTGGCCAAAGCAACAGGTGAAGTTGACATAGCAAGAAGGCCATCCAGAAAGACTTCCCCTAGTTGATGAGGGCACTAGGGTTTCTTTTATCAAAATTTCTGCTCCACAAGCAATTCCTGTCCCAGGAGACATAATGTAGCTAACCCTGTACCTGTTGCACCTTCCATCAAGTGCAAATCTCTCTATAGTCCTCTCCCTTCAGCTCATTTTTGCTGGGCAGCTTCCTGTCAACTGCTTGAGCAGTTTCCTGATACACTAAGCAGAGCCTGGCTTGTCCATGCACACCTGATGCCTAATGCAGATTCCTCTTCTGCAGCTGAAGCTACAGTAAGAAGTTCTGTCTACCTAACTTGAAGAAATGCACATGAAGGCATCACATCACTGCTGAAGAGACAAATTGCCTCCTCTGCTTGAAGAGCATTTGAACCCATGGACATCATGTTGCACAATGCAGTCTCCTGAGAGACAAACATGTGGGTTATATATATACTTAATAACATAATATAAAATATGTCTAGGAGGAAAGGAGATGTCTGGGAAATCACATCCTATGAGACACTCAATCTGCCTGGTGCCCCTGGGCTGCGCTCTGAGCCCAAAGGCTGAGTTCAGTACAGCTGAAGAGGATGGATGTGGCTCATCCTCATCCATCCATGAGAGATGGCGACTGTGGAGTCTGAATCCCAGCCCAGCCCTCTGTTTCCCCTGACAGTGCTCAGTCCCTCACCTAGTGTCCGGCATTGAGACCCCAGGGCTTTGGCTGTACCTGTTTTTCCCCCTGCTCTGCTGCCACTGCAGAGGAGAGCCCTTCATGGGAAGTCTGTGCTCACTGCTGCAGTGTCCTGTTCCCCTGCAGCTGGATAACAACCGGGAGCTGAGGAGGAATGAACCAGCAAGCAGGATTTAAAAAAACAGAGCAACCCACCCTTTCAAGGTCAGACTCAGGTTGAGCTGCACAGGGTTTTCTCTAAGAGGCCACCGGAGCCCTTTTGTTCCTCTCTGCTCTTGCCATGTTCATCCCAATGTACATGTGAAAGGAACAATTAACAATAGGGCACTCCTCTCCGAGGATCCAATGCACTTTGAAGTGTCCACCAACCAAAGGCTCTGGAATGATACATCATTTTCCACTGTGAACGTGTCAAACAAGCACAGCTATTGAAAAAATGTCTCCACATGCCTTCCCAGCATGCGGACAGGGACCAGCTGGAAAGCCACTTCATATCTGACATGTCACCCTGTGACAGCTGCCTTCCTGGGAATTTTTGGAATGTGGAGTTTTGTATTTTCTTTTTTTTTTCTTTTCTTTTTTTTTTTTTTTCGGTAAGTAAGACACAAGATTAAACTTGTTTGCTTTAAGGCTACATCCAGACCTCTCCTGAACATACAGCATTTCTTTAAAGACTGAATAAAAAAAATACCTGGGAAGTATTTTTTAAATGTCACTCACTGTAAATGAAGTAAACCTTTAGTCATTTCTATACCAAAGCCTCCCACTGTTTATTTCCACACTGAAGGCCCCTTTCAGCAAAGGTATTCCAGCATCAGTCTGACTTGAGGTGCATGAACAGGCCCAGTAAACTCAATGCATGCCATTAATTGGGTGGTGATCGCTAAGAGTGAGTGCATCGAGCAGCTCTAATAACATGAATATGCAAATTACCGGCATTATTTTAATGGCCTATAAAGCAAAGAGCAGCTTAGTGAACAGTGAGGCGGTACAGAGACTATGCAGAAGTCACTGTTTTGACAGTAGTTTAATCCACATTTGCTTTCTTCCTATAGAAGAGCATTTATTTACAGCCCAGGACAGAGCAATAGGTGGTGGTATTTGTTTTTCTAGGTGTACTAGCACCGTTATATAGGACAGTTCTGGGCCTTGTTCTGGAATATTGTGAGCAATTCAAAAAAGACAAATCTGAAGTGAAGGAAATGCAGAGAAGGGCAGCTGGAAGCTACTAGGGAGTGGAGACTCCATTGCATGAGGAGACTGAAAGAGATGGGTTTGCTTCCTACAGCAAAGCCAAAGGCCAGAGGCTGCTCTCTGTCAGCTGGCCAGAAATGGAAACTTCACCTAGGTATGGTAAAATACAGGAAGAAAGGTATAAAGTAATCCATGACTGTTTTTGATCCAGAAAATAGAAGGTGATTTCTGAAAGTCAGAGACTCTCTCAAATGCTCCTCAATTGTTCTCCTCATTGATCTTTTGCTTTCCACCCAGTCTCATCTCCCTGGGACTGCAGGTCCTTCCTGGGACCTGCACTGCCTGGCAGTCCCCTTTGCTCTCACTCCTTGCTGGAGTCAACACCTCTCCTCCAAGGACAAGAGCAATTTGGCCTACCTACAAGATGAAATTTTGGCTCTTTTCCTCTTTTTATATGTATTTTTTTGCCTTGGCAATCTGCTTTGACCCGAGTGACACTCCCTCTTCGCTTTCAGTCCCCAGTTTTCTGCACTTGGGGACAGACTTTGAGCAGGCAGCGAGCGCGGAGGCCGTGCGGAGGGAGGGGACGAGGCGGCGAGAGCGAGGAGGGGGGCCGTTGCTACCCAGGGACTGCCATTCAGGCAGATGGTGGAAGGCCTTGACATGAATAGCTCCTGTCAGTCCCACAGAGCGAACTTTACAATTGTGCTACG